TCGCAATAGAATTTGGTACATGATTATATTTGTCTTTATATATATTATAAATTTTGCTATAGGATAAATTTTTTAATTTTCAAAGTTGAGAGGGTCGGAGGGAAAAAGAAAGACATTTTCGAAAAATTTGAGTGAACTGTTATAAAGTACATTATAAATCATAAAACTTTTTCTTAAAACTTGTATTTATATCTTTTACCACTTCAACAGTATTAGCTCAGAAATATAAGGACGTATAAAAAAATATATGCGTCTTCTTTTGATTGACCTAGATTACAACAGACTCAAAGCTTGTCAAAATCGGGTTGTAACACTTGGATAGAGGAAAGCAAGTCTAAAATAAAAAGATATGTAGAGGAGACCGGGGTAAGATGTAACAATTAGTTTTTTAGTTGTCACACGTGGCAACACATTTTTATAAATTTTTATATGTGGTTCGTATGATACTCTACAACTTCACTTATAATTAGTTCAGTCGTCATATTTAAACTTTAGAAGACGCTACGTATGTTTTCTTGACTTTTACTATTAAAATTAAATATTTCATTGTACATGATCTGTCCAAAAAGTACAGGGACTGCACGAAAAAAAATTTATTCTACATATGTAATGGGTTAACAATATTCTTCAAAATAACATCCTTCTGCATCAATACCGTTGTCAGTGCTTCTGCCATACTTGGTACGCTCCCTAGAAGTCTGCAACCGGAATCTCTTTCAGGCACCATGTCGAAGCCTCTTGTACTCTTTCCATCGTCCCGTAATGGTGTCCTTTTAGATTTTGTTTCATTCGAGGGAAGAGAAAGATGTCTCTCTATAGTCCAGACGGGGCCAGGTCTGGACTATAGAGAAACTGAAGCAGCGTTGCCACGCTGTGCTTCATCAGAAACTCCCTTATGCGTAAGGACTTGTGATTCGACGCATTGTCGTGATGGAGAATCTAGGTATCAGCGATCTCTCTATGAACGAGTGGCTAGAGTCTCAGCACCGAATTTTTTCAGTTTCTTGCAAAACTTAATTACATATTGCTGTTCAATCGTACGTTGCATCTTGATTGCTAACGACACTATAAAACAACTGTTCACACTAGAAGCGAATCACACTCTGTAAAGACTCAGAGGCAAGTGAGCTCGTGTCATATACCTGAAATTTTCCACCAATATACCTGCTCATGGAGACCATTCTGCATCAATTCCCCTTGGCTAGAAAAAATCAGTCTTGATACTTTTTGAACAGACCATGTATTTATAATATAAATCGCTTGTGTTATTGTATAAGTTAGAGATATGTAATTATCTTTTGTTAGGGGTATGTAATTATCCTTTTGTATATTTCTTTTATATACATTTGATTATAATAATATATTTTATGAACATATTTGAATCGATATATGTACTAGTTTTCGATCTGTATTTTTTCGAATTGAAAATGGAAGATTAGGGCAAGTTATTACACTTTGATTGGGGCAGGTTATTACAGTGTAACAGCTTACCCCATTAAAAACATTTCTTTTTCTTCTACAGAATGATGCACAAATTTCAATAAATAGACTATTTACTTCGTCTCCATGTTTGAATACAATGCTGAGCAGTGCCATGTTTGTGTTCACTCCATTCTCACATGAATGAATCACACGGATAATAACATTAGTGTTTTCATATTAATTTATGCAATATTCACAAACAGAACGCATGCATATGCATACGTGAACTGAAATAAGGCCAGCTCAAAATCAGGTTCATCTCTTTCTATTGAGTCAGCAATCTAATTATAAAAGTCTGTGGAATGATGTAATTTACAAAAAAAAATACACAGAATCTATAAATGTAGAAAAGTATGCGACAGCGGCAAAAGAAGTTAAAGATGGCCACCTGTCTGTAAGAAAAGCAACAAATACGTTTAAAAGACATAGATACAAATTAGAAAAAAATTAACTATCTAATTAAAGATGTACTTGAAGCAATGCAAGTATTCATTAATTTAAATGTATATATTAGTAAAAAAAAAATTGCTAATCAACAATTGTAACAACTTGCCTCGGTCTCCTCTATCCGGTAATCATTTAATATCACTTTTTTAATCGATCCTTTTCTTTTAATATGTATCATTTTCCGATTTCCGACATACCGATCTTCTTAGATACAAAGATTCATTATCTAAAATTTGAATATTCTTCCAATCGAATTTATAATCATTCAGAATAAAATATTCTTTTTTAAATATCAATCTTATATTTTCCAATAGATCGAGATTACCGCATTAACATTTCTGTTAAGCTATTTGTAGGTATCTAGCTTAAGTTAAATCCAACAAATATTTATTTTTCAAATTTTAATGACACTTTTCATTAATATTTCGATTTAAACTTTCGATTAATATTGTGTTTTTCTGCTTTCAGAGTCATATTTACTACCTCCAAAAACGATGTTGCATGTTAATATCTATGGAGTCCATAGAGATCCCAATTTTTGGTCAAATCCAGAGATATTTGATCCAGATAGATTTTTGCCTGAGAAGATCCGAAATCGTCATCCTTACTCATATTTACCATTCAGTGCTGGACCACGTAACTGCATCGGTAAATTGTTTAATGATATTCTTTTATACATAAACAAGTTTCAATACATATCAAATTGTAGGTCAACGATTTGCTATGCTGGAGATGAAGGTAATAATAGCCTCTCTGATTCATAATTTTTACTTGGAACCCTTTGATTATTTAAAAAATGTACGATTAGGAGCTGATTTGGTGATCCGACCTATTGATCCGCATCGCCTAACATTTATTCCAGTCGAAACATAAACATTAAAAGATATTTCATATTTTAAGAATTTAATGATGTATTGCAAAAATAAAGAAAATAATCATGTTTATAAATATATGCAAATAATAAGAATAAACATCTGTATAAATATTAAATTTAAATAGCAATATATAGATATTATAATATAAGTAAGTCTGTCTAAATTTATTAAGTGATAAGATCTTTTAATATTATATTATACTGTTCAAAATAAAGCGTTACAAATTTTTATCTCGAAAACATGACATTATTGAGAAAAATTGTTCAGACGAAAGTTGTAGAGTTCAAAAAGGTCTACTTATTGATCTTATCAATTTGATCTTGGATGGCGTCACCAACATCAGGTCAAGGTCACATTGATTTTTTTTTAAACGGAATCCTGTTATATACACATTTTTGTAAAAAGGTTTAATAAGCATTTTATAACAAAAAATAAAATATGTAGTTAAGTAATTAATATTTATCAACGTTATACCTAATGTGTATATTATATGAAAAATAATTAAGTTAATTTTTTATAAAAGGCATTGTAAAAGAAAGTAAACAGTATACTTTTTAAGTTCACAATGAAAATATTATATACAGATTTATTGCAGACTTTTATGTAATATTTGAATGTTACGTCGCTGCTTTATCATTATATTACGATGCAGTCTGCATCGACACAGTCTGCTGTGATATAATGTCTCTTTAATCATTCAGAACGATAACCTTCTTTTGTCAACGTTGCTCTTATAATCATAAAAATATAAGATATAAGTCTGATAAAAATGTTGCTAAATTAAGTAAGATGTAAGAAAATTTGTACTTTAGTTAAATAGTCAATTAAATTTGCAATGCGTAAAAAATGTACGTAAATGTATGTGTCAACGTTTGTGTAAAAGTACAAAGTTTAAAAAATATTACATAATTACTTAGGTAGAAACAATTCAAAACTATTTTTCATAGTATAACATATAACTATTTCGGGTTGTAAACATTTTTGAACAAGAAGAAAATCAATTGAAAAATTTTCTATTAAATCTATGACTTTACTTGATTGATATATTTTTTATTAGAATGAATGAATACATTATGACGAGGAAAGGGGGAAGACGTTTAGAATTGGCCCCATTAAATTATCATTGTAGAGTTTATATTGAACTTTCGCACTAAAGGAGGTTCAAATCCAGAGTCAAGAAACGTTTGTAAATAATTGTCTTGGTAAGTACATTCAAATTATTATTAATATTGCAAGTTATATCTTATCGCATTATAAATCAGGATTGGCAACGTTAGCTCATAAAAATAACTTGTTACCATTACCGTTTTTTTTCCTGAAAAGTAACTCGTTATCATTACTCATTATTAATTTGTTAAAATAACTCGTTACCGTCACTCAAAATGTAATGAGTCGTTACTTTTTTGTTACTTTTTTTCTTGATACTAATAGAATATTATATAGCGTTTTTCATTGGCAGAACTTGTGCGCATTCAATGCACAATAAAGCAGTTGTACACAACTCTAATCTAAATATAAAAATAAGATATCTGAGATGATAAAATGCCTAAAGTATATTTTATCATATAACATAATAAAGTATATTGGATTTCGCAGTTTAACTCGTTTCTCTATTTTTATTAACCATACTTCTTACGTCGATTGTACAGCGGTTTTAAATGCACTGAATGCGTATTAGTTCTGTTAATGAAAAATACTATTATATGCAGATTCTTGCGGTAACTGTAAAAAAGATGGAACAATTCTGTTTTTAGTAGAAGAAAAAACTAAAAGACTGATAAATATGTATATCTGCATACGTTCTAGTTATGATTAAAACTTTTACGTAAATAGACATAAAGTAACGATAAAAGTAACTAGTGAAATCGTTACCATTACCCCAAAAATTTAATTGCGTTATCAGGAGAAAATGTAACATCGTTACTCAAACGTTATCAAAAAAAGTAATTTGTAACGGTTACGACTTTACAAGTAACGCATTACTTGCCAATCCCCTATTACAAATATATTATTAATTTAGATAAAATTAATATAGACTCTTCAATATTATAACAAAATAATAAACAAATATATGGAGAAATAGGAGTCAGCGCGGAGCCAAAGTAAAAATGTAATGATAAAATAATCTTCATTAGCTTATATATTCGAATCAGCGATGACACAAGTTATTTGCATCCGTGCAATTGTAAAGTGAACATTACATTGCATTACATTTTTCGACAAAGAAACAGTTTTTGATTATAATTACATACTAGGTATTAATAATTTAATGCGATTTCGATTGTTTATAACGTATTGGATTGACTAATGAATGCGAATGAACGTAATGCATCAGTTTTGGTGAGTAACCATTAGATTCCGTTCTTTAAGTATATGACGGCCGCTTATTTTAACAACATTGCCAATCCCCTGTTATAAATATATTATTAATTTAGATAAAATTAATATAGACTCTTCAATATTATAACAAAATAATAAACAAATATATGGAGAAATAGGAGTCAACGCGGAGCCAAACTAAAAATATAATTATAAAATAATTTTCATTAGGTTATATATTCGTATCAGCGATGACACAAGCTATTTGTGTCAATGCAATTGTAGAATAAATATTACATTGCGTTACATTTTTCGACAAAAAAACAGCTTTTGGATTATAATTACATACTAGGTATTAATAATTTAATGCGTTCGATTGTTTATAACGTATTGGATTAACTATTGTATTAAATGCGAATGAACGTAATGCATCAGTTTTGATGAGTAACCATTAGATTCCATTCTCTAAGTATATGACGGCTGCTTCTTTTAACAACATTATTGTTCTGTTTCTTAGTTTTACTTTACGAAGGTTCCGTGAAATCCTTTTCTCTAACCAGTAAACTACTAAGAACGCTGGAATCTTTTTGATAAGATAAGTTCTTCCTTTCTTCATCTTTTTCATAAGATGGTTGACAACATTAATGTTGCATCCCCAGAGCATATATAATCAAATACATTGTCAATGATAATGACTAGAAGTAAGTCAAAACGTGTCCAGATGCATTGTCACGAGTAAAAAATTATTGTTATAATGAATAAATAAAGATCATTTTATCATTACATTTGCGCACTTACTTTCATAAATCGAAATCAAATCAATATCGATTGATTTTTCGGATCATTTGATTTGATATCGACTGTATTTTCTTTAAAAGAGATTGATATTTTATCAACGCTGTATCGATAAAATGTCGATTTTCTTTCAAAGATTAATAAAAATCTAATAGATATCAAATCAAATAAAAAATTGGTGCTAAAAATCAATCGACTTTAAATCGACTTGTGAATAGTACCGCGCTGATTCCTACTTCCTTATATATTTGATCATTATATTATTAATATATTAACAATTGCGGATGCTCATATACACTAAAAAAAACTTTTGCAATATCTTACCCACATCAAAGTGTCCAAAATACATCTTAGAGGTATCTTAAAGATATATTTGAGATATATGATATCTTTAGGATATCTGTCTAATGTATTTCGGAAATTTTTGCTGCATGGATAATAAATATTTTTTTGAATATTTGTAAGTAAACATTTAATTATAGTAAATAATTATCAAATAAAAAAAAAGATAACTAAATTAAATTAACGGTTCTTGTATCAAATAGATATATATTAACAATCAATAAATATTTACTTACAAATATTCTAAGAAATATTTATATACTAAATTTTTTTTAGCGTAGACAATTTATTGGCCAAAAAGTAGTTGCGTTCAAAAGTTTTTTTTTAACGGTAAATATTCACTATATATCTTAATAATTTGTTGTTCAAGCATGTTTTAGAAAAAAAAAAACATACACGATTTCGTTGAGAATTGTTTATTTGGCGTTGATTTTAATATAGAAAATAAAAAAAAAACATTTTCGTCATATTTTACTTTCAAAACTGTATTACTTCCAAATAGGAGAAAACGCTGTGCAAGCTCATAAAAAGTTATGTGTATGGTGTATTAATGGCACACACACAAGATGTCTTAAAACTACAATAATATCAGAATTGATTCATAAAATTTCGGTCTGAAGATTTTTATGTATATATGATAATATTTAAATGATTTTTATAATATTTTAATTTTTTAAAGACACTCAGAAAGACCAATCAAAGTTGATGACAAAATAGAGGCATTGAGATCGGCTCCAATCGCCGTTTAACAACACGAGAGATTGCTAAGAATCTTAATATATCTACCTAAATTAAGCTGTTGAGAACCATTTGACATAATTTGAATATAAATAAAGTTAGTTACATTACAAGAGATGTATTGCCAATTATCAGGAAAAAACGCAATTATTTTTTAGCCTATCCAATATATAAGTATACATTCGGCCTAAGAAAAAGCAGTATACAGTAGATAAATAAGAAAATTTAAAAAATTCTAATGCAGTAAATAATTATGATACTAAGATGCTTAAAAAATGAAGTTTGAAATTTATATTTGAGAAATTTTTAATGCAGATTGAGTGGAATAATTAATTTTCCAGTGGCGGATGATAGAATAAGGATCTGCAAAATATTTATAAATGGAAAGTCCAATTTTTGGAATTGCATTGAATAAAGCAATTGACATAACTGTCAGTGCAACATTTTTTGAACTCATTCAGTTTATTCGGTTGGTCCGAACATAAATTCAGCATTGAACTGGATCAGTTTTCATTTGCCGAATACGATAATTTTACGATAAACGTACGTATAAACGTATATGTATAAACGTATGTATAAACGGATATACGTACATACGTTTATACGTACGTTTATAATATTGTAAACAGTGTGAAAAGTAAATGTACATTTTATTGCTAATCAGAAGCAGGTGCTTAAAGTTCGATTTTAAATTAATTAAATTAAATTAAGATCCTGCTTATAAATATTGTAAGGACTATATAATAAGAGCTATATATTGTAAAATTACGTTATATAAAAGTAAACACGAATATTTAAACTATATATCTAGGTGTATGACATTATTTATTTAAAAAACCGTATTGAAAAAACTGCGTCATAAAAAAGAGAATTCATTTCTTGTATCCTTTCTTCACTCATATCACGCGCTCTATCGCTTACAAAACATACTACGTTATAGTATCAGTCGCGTTATTAATCTGGCACATGCCAGATAATAATTGTGTCATGTAAAGCGTCATGCACGCTCTATCTTTCTCTAACGTGCGAACCCTTGTTATATACGCATTTTTTGGGGTGGACGCGGGGGGCCCGCAACAGCGGTGGCGGCGGTGGCGGTGGCGGTGGCGGTGGCGGTGGCGGCGGCGGCGAATGAAAAAAATAAGAAACGCATTGTTTATGTGAGTTCAACGTATTGTTTATGTGGGTCGTATTACAACGATGCCGCCGGGACTTCCCGCGCCTTCCTCCGCTCGCGCTCCCCCCGCGCCTACGAGTACCCTCCGCGCCCTGCGCTCCCTTCAGAGGACAAGGGTTTCGGACCCGCCTTATATGGCTACTGAACCAGTTGCGTACAAGCCGAATGCGTGGCACTGAAAAAGTTCTCACTCAGTACACACTAGTGCGGTCTGCCGACTTCGCTATTAGACGCTTTATCTCGAAGAATTTGTTATACGAAAATTGACACAAATGTGACTGCGTATATCATAGATTGCATGAGATATTGGTGCGATAGTATATAAAGATAATGCACGGAAAAACAGCGATTTCTAGTGACTTCAACGAAGTTTGAGCTTCTCTTTAGGATCTCCTTAAGTAATCGAAAAAATACAAAATTTTCTTTTCAAAATGCTTTATTCTAAAACTTAAGATGGTAATTTTTTGCTGAATTATCAGAAAAAAACATTTTTTAATGTTTTTTAAATAATCATAAATTGATTTGTAATTCTGCCGTTATCAGGGAGTCTAATGTGTATTTCGAAATGAGATGAAAATTACAAAGTAATCAAATTCATTAAGTGTTCACCAATAAAATTATAAATATTTTAGCAAATTTTCTCACTTTTTCACACTTTTTTTTGTGTTTCAAGATACACAATATCGACTACCAATTTAAATCGCTACTATTTTGTTCAAGTCATATCGTAATTGTTTGAAATTACATCCGTATATGTACACGCGTGGGCGTATGCATTTTTTTATTGCAAAAAAGAAACAACATAAAATTTCTCAGTATGTATATGTTACGGGCAAAGTTCACAAATGGGCAGTGTCGACATTGTCCGGGACAGATTAACATTGCCCAACATGATTGGGTTGAGCAATGTTAACACGACCCAGGCAATGCTAGTATTTGCAGCATCAGATAACTCGAGCAATGTTAACACTGTTCACTATGCGGACATTGCCTATAACATAACAAATCCACTAGGTTTTCTACACTTGTATATATGTAATGTGTATTCAGATAGGCTAGAATTTGTTAAAATTGCCAATTCCAATTGGATTTAAGTAGCTTACTGCCTCCTTCTTATCTCTCACACGTACACACATAGAGGTGTAATTTTAAATAATCAATTCGATATGTCTTGGACAGAATCGCAGTAGTTTAAACTGATGACGGTAGCATTACAATTTATCATTATTTCGTATACAATCTATTTTTCCTTAGATTGATATAATTCAGTGAAAAATTATCATATCGAGTTTCACAATAGCACATTTTGAAGAGAAGACTTTGAACTTTCACGCGCTTTTTATTGGATTGAGTTACGTCAACTGCTTCTGTGCAACTCTGGAAACTGAATCTTCCATTTATCAATTTTGCAGATCCTCACTCTATCATCCGCTATTGGAAAATTAATTATCCCGTTCAATCGGCATTAAAAATTTCTCGAAATATAGACTTCAAACTTCATTTTCATTTTTTAAGCATCTTTGTACTACAAGTTACTATGTTACAAGTATTTAAACTTTCCTAAATTTTTTCTAATTTTTTGTTATATATATCCCTTTTTCTTTGACTTCTTGAGAGTGTATTTGATTTTTTTCTTAGAGAGTCACAACACTATTTTTATTTTAATTTGAATGCATTATATTTTATCTGTTATATATTTAAAAAATTTTATATCTGTTTAAAATTTCTTTATTGATAAAACACTTTATTGACAATTAATATCTTTTACTTGTTACAAACATTTAGGACACTGAAGTAACTTTGTAATAATTTGATTTGAAGCAAATGTCACGTATTTTAGTACGTGTGAATCAAACATTAAGCAGAAAGTTGAAGAAAACTGACATTAATTAGATTGATAATCAGGTCAACAATGATCGTTATCACATTGACACTATTTGTTCTTATCATATTAATGTATAATTATTACGTGCATTACGGACGGAATGGACGCCTTATTAACCTTATACCAGGACCATCAGGTTATCCAATTATTGGTCATGTGCTACTATTACAAGGTTCACGAGGTAAATTGAAACTTTTAACATTTCCATAAATTACCTAACTCTAAAATGTGCAATTATCAATATTACCGTGTGTTTAATAATTACATAAAGTTATCAATATCTTTTTAAGTAATAACATTTGTTTTCTTATATAATTGTATAATTATTTGTTCAATATCTACATCTTAATAAAACGGTTCAAATTATATGTACTGCAAATTATATGTACATAATTTGTATTCCACCTAACTTTTTTAGGTACATTAAGAAATAAACTGTGACAAGTGAGGAAATAAATGTCATTACACAAAAAAAAATAAATTAATTACATACATATGTACATACGATCGTATATAAATAATATATTACAAATATTAATATTTATCATTAAATTTTTCTAAATTAGTAACGTTTTTAAATTTACAATACATATATACATTTTTCAGAAATTCTATGGAAACTTTTGAATAAAATGACTGATAAATATTATCCAATTTGTAAAATTTGGGGATTTTTTACGCCTATTGTATCTATCCGTGATCCGGATGATATGGAGGTAATAAAGTATTCATGAAAACTGATTATTTAAAAGTGATAAAATGTCTGAGATATTTTAAGTAATATCTTCATTAAAATTAAGTTAAATAATATTTAATTCAGTATCTGTAATTTCAGGCAATATTAAATAACATGAAACATATCAATAAGAGTATAATTTATGATGTTTTACTTCCTTGGTTCAATACGGGTCTTCTCACTAGTGGAGGTAAAATAATGTGTGTGAGATTAAAAAATATAACATCTGTAATGTATTGTATATGTGTTTTATTATTATATTCTGCTCTAATTATAGAAAATTCCAATTACATAAACAATTAAAACTTTGCAACTAAGCTAAATATTATTTCAAATAACAACCTTTTTTTATTACAATTTATTCAGTAAATATATATGTGTAGTGTAGATATATTCAGTAAAGAGATATGTGTATACAGAAATACATTCTTACGAATAATTTTGTCATAGTTTTACATATAATCTCAATTATGCAAAAATAATCAAACTCAATATCACAGATCCTTTTTTTGTATAATAAATTTTATTTTTTGTATAATAAATTTTATTTTTGTCATTGATAAAATTTTAATTATGTGATATCAATAATGTACCATAATACATAAATCTTTATTGAGCAAGTATTCTAAAAAAATAATAAAAATATTTAATAAATTCTTTGTTTATTAGAGTACGTTTATTAAATAACAACTAAGAAATTTCATCAGAACGCATGAAACAAGAAAAAAACTTAAAATAATTAGTGCTAAGTAAAAATTAATTAACTACAAATTATTGGAAAGCAACAGGCTTTATATAGCAGCATTTATGTATGTTCAAATTTTATATATACAATAGATATATATATATATATAGTTTAACAATATAATTTTTTATTTTATTCTCTTTGTTTTAGGCGCTAAGTGGCACTCTCGTCGAAAGATATTAACTCCAGCATTTCATTTTAATATTCTGCAGCATTTTGTTGAGGTTTTGATCGAGGAAAGCGAAAATATGACAAAATCTTTGCAAAATACAGGAGGCACTGTTGTAAAAGATTTAATACCGTTTATTAGTGAACGTACACTGAATGCAATATGCGGTATTGTATCTTATTTTTATAACTATATATATTTAAGATTTTATTCCGGAAAAAAAGATAAAACACGAAATATTAATTAATAAATATAATTCAATACATTAATATATAAATCAATATAATAATATCTATTTATTACAACATAAGATATTAAAATAATTGATTATATATAATATCTTAACAAATATATTTGCAAAATTTTAATAAATTGCATTTGCAGAAACTGCTATGGGCACTTCTCTACGAGACCAAGATGCGTACGAACAACGATATCGAAAAGCGGTTCATCAAATGGGCGAAATAATCATGTATAGGTAACTTACATGTAAATACTTTGAACAACTGCGATAGCTTGGTAAAACACTTCATCCAATTAGTCTCATATTAAAATATTTTTTAGGTAGAACTCAAAAACTGTAAATATAATATATAAAATAGCAACTTAAACATTAAAATAAAAAAATATATTAATAATTTAGGTAAAAAAAACATCTGGTTTTTATCAATTATTTCAATTACTACGTAAACTAAAAGAACATTCACATAATACTTTATTTTTAATTTTATTTTTGATGCGTAAAAACAAATGTGTTCAGCTAAACACAGATTATCATATTCAGTAGTCTATGTCTCTACGCAATCTTACGCAAGTATAGATGAGTCCACATGCATTTCAGTTACTGAGATATTGTTTCAGTTAAGAACTTCAGTTGTGAGATATTTGCATGTCCCAACTTGCCCCTTAACAACTCCTGTTTTACTCTATCGTATATGATCTATCCAATTGTTTACTTTTGAAATGTTGAACGTTAGATAATATGACGTAAACAAAAGATACGTAAAATAAAAAATATTTATCCAATTGTAACAAAATTGTCTTAAAAAGATACAATATTTATATAAAGCATTCGATATATCCTATTAGCATAAATTTAATTATTATTAAATGTAAATTAATTAAAAATTTTTCAAGTAGTTATAATACTATTAAAATTGATAATAAAATTAAAGCTTTCACAAAATACAATCATCAAAATAGCATATTTATCATTCAATAATTATGATTTAGATTAATGAGGCAGTGGCTGCGATACAATGGGATCTTCTCATTGATGCCAAAAGGCAAACAACAAGCAAAGACTTTGAGGATACTACACGGATTTACTGAACGAGTATATTAAAATTATTTTTCAATGTTTGCTTATATATATATATATAAACCCATTACGTAAAATTATATTATAAAAATTCCATAAATTTAATATGAAATTATTATATGATATTTTATATGTCCTTAGTGTATTTATATTAATCAGAAAAGATTGAGATGGCTCCTTTTGTCTACAAATCGATTACCTACAAGCACTTTTGTCGCACAATAATCGTAGGCAATTATTATGTAGGTAATAATACATGTAGATAATAATACATGTAAGCAAATGAGACGTTCGTAAAAGTGCATGTAAGCAATAATTTTTGTGCGCAAATAAACTGGCAAAATTGATGTAGGCAAACGATACTGTAGGCAATCGATTTGTAAGCAAACAGGATCTTTCCAAAAAGATTAATATGATTGTATAGATTATTGCGGAAAGAAAACTTTATCAAGAATATAACGATGATCAATACTTAAAAGATTTTGATAATAACACAATGACAGAGACAAGTGATGTAGAAACGATTAAAAGTACGTACAATTATTATAGAATCTATTCTGTAATTTCGATTGGCATGTAATATTATAAATTATTTGTTTACATATTATTAATTATAATGCAATTTAAATTTTAAACAAAATTAATATCACTAATAAAAATATCATAGAATTATATTAGAGATTAACATTTTAATTTAAAAATTTTTTAGTTCGGAAAAAGCGGCTTGCATTGTTGGATCTTTTAATAGCAGCGTCTCGAAAAGGTCTCTTAACTGATTTAGATATCAGAGAAGAAGTGGATACTTTTATGTTTGAGGTATTTTATGTATATGGTGTGAATAAAATATTCGTGCACTAAATTTTTTTCTGCTAACGTAGCAACACTGTAGGTTTCTGCAGTGGTGTGATACGTACGAAGTTTAATGAACACGTTCAGTATAATTTTGTCACTAACGCATGCAGGTTTGTCAATAATTGTGAGAAAGTGTAGTTTTTGCAACGTACGAATAAAGCTTAATATTTTAACAATACAGAAAATCAAATTTCTTGTGAAATTCGGGAAGAATAAGTCAGAATCTATCAAATGTTACAGACGGTCTGATCATAAATTTCTATCCAATTCTTTTCTAATTTCACAAGAAATTTGATTCTCTGTTTTGTCAAAATATCACACTCTATTCTAATGGTGCAAAAAAATTATTCTCACAATTATTGACATAGAAACCTGCAAATATTAGTGATCAAAATTATATTGAACATGTTCATTAGATTTTCTATTACATGCCACGCCACTGTAGAAACCTACAGCATTGCTACGTTCGCAGAAAAAATTCAGTTCACGAAATTTTCATTATGTATTTATATCTTTTCTAAATTTTTCTATTCATTATTTACACATGTAATAATACATATAATGTAATTACAGGGACATGATACTGTAGCAAAGGCTATATGTTTTGCTCTTTTATTACTAGCTGAACATAAGGACATTCAGGTATCTTTCGTTAAATGAGCATTATATGTAGATAGAATTTTTTTTAATTAACAATATTAATACACAGAATCGTGTCAGAGATGAAATCTGTACTGCTATAGAAGAGAATGGAAAGAAATTTACTATGAATATATTGCAAAACTTGTCATATTTAGATAGATGTATAAAAGAAACATTGCGTTTGTATCCCAGCGTTTATTTTATATCACGAATTACATCGGAAGACTTAAAATTAAGTATGTAATTAATATTTCGTATAAATAATTTTTAACAGACTATAAATGAATATAGAAATGTAATAAAATTTAATATAAATATTTATAAAATACAATATTATTATTGCTAACATTACAATAGTATTTTTTGTTGAAACAAATTTAATTTTTTTTTATTTTAATAAGATGTATGCAGTCTATTTAATATTTTATAAATTAATAAAAAAATATACTTTACAGATTCATATATAATACCCGCTAAAACAATTGTGCATCTTAATATCTACGGACTCCACAGGGATCCCAAATTTTGGCCAAATCCAGAGATATTTGATCCTGATAGATTTTTGTTTGAGAAAATTCGAAATCGCCATCCTTACTCATATTTACCATTCAGTGCTGGACCACGTAACTGTATTGGTAAGTTAGATCTTTGATATTTTCTCATATAAATAATTAATTTGAGATATGTAACAAATTACAGGCCAACGATTCGCTCTGCTGGAGATGAAAGCAATGATAGCCTCTCTGGTTCATAATTTCTACTTAGAGCCCATTGATTACTTAAAGAACTTGCGAATGGAAGTTGATTTAGTGCTGCACCCTGCTCATCCACTTCGTGTAAAATTTGTTCCCATCGTTAAAATGCATACAACTATTTAACGCAAATGCATCTTTTAAGAACGTGTGATAAAAATTGAAAAATTGTTAAGTATGTTATAACTTGTTTATATATATATGTTATAACTTGTTTATATATATATATATATATATATATATATATATTCACCCGCTTATGTATAATAAAAAGTATAATCATATTATCATGTGCTATTTATAAATTTGATATTTATCAAAGTAATTTGCACTTAATTTATATTTTCCAAAAAGACTTTTGTCATACTCACAGCCGGCACCGTTACAAATTCATAAAAAATTAATCTGAAAAATAAGAGGAATTTATGTACTATTTATACACTTTTACATAATTTATTTATATATTTTATTTCTTTATTTAATGTTTGTTATTTTAATATTTGCCTTTCTATTATTTACAAAAAAACTCATATATCTCAGATGAAAAGAAATTTCTTATTGTAAACGTATCAATATTCATTCTGTTGATTTGATTGAAAAAGATACATCAAAACGAAAGTAACGTTAAACATATGAAAGCATAAAATTCATTTCATATCTTCGCATGTTGTTCAGTTATTGTAAACAAAATTATCGATTCGACCACAATTTATGACATATATTCCGCTTAATTACGCGGTTTAAAATAATCATTTGATTTCGTCGCTCGTGCATGCACTTGACGTGAAATAATCCATTGTGTAATATTATTATAAAAAAAGATTTTTTTAAGAAAAAAAAATTTATTTATAACATCAATATTTTAAAGTTTTTTTCAGAAACATTTAGTCTTCCTTCTTGATATTAAAACATAACCATGCAAACGTTATGCTTGCACTATTTATTTCATGCTCACGAAAAACTTTACCAATATTGATAAGACACAGTTTGTTGCCTCCAGACAATATTGTCAACGTTCGCCAACATTAGCAAATATCATACAAACATAATGTACATAATTATCTATACTAAATGTAGGTCTATATTTAGCAAATGTATGCAAAATTAACGTATACATTGGACATATATTAGATGGTCTGGAGGAGTCTTTTTATTAATACAAATGATGGTCTTTATTAATACAAACTTTTTATGTTATAAATATACACATACATATATATATATATGTGTTTTTGAGTTATATAAGATTTTAGTTAACTTGACATATTTTTGAAATAATGTTTAAATGACGTATCTCAGCAAACAAACTGATATTGTCATCAGTTTGTTTATTCAGTCTTAAAATTACATTATTTTGCGAACATTTATTAACATATTTTGAAATATAAAACTTATAATTATATTACGAATATTTCAGATATGATTGACTGTTTTATCAGAAAAAAATCCATAATAAAAATAATATTTACAAAAGATAAAATTAAATAAAATTTTATTATTAAAATTTATACAATAGTTAACAATATTATAACATGACTATAATGCTTATTATTTTTATATAAAATATTTCAAACATTTCATGTGCAATTTATTTACATTTTGTAAGTGTGCGGAGAATGATATGCGTGATTTTATTTGAAAATATTTATTTTAAAAAGTATACTATACAGTAGTACATTTATTTAATAATTTTAAAAATATTATAAAGTAACATATACGAGGTGGCTGGAATGTACGGCCCCACTCGTCCCGAGCAGATAGAGCGGACTAAACTAAGTCGAAAAATCCTGTACTATTTTGCAATGCTCGCAATAATTAACGAGATATTAACGTTTAAAGATAGCCGAATACGCGCGTCAGCCCGACCTACTATTGCCGAAGGTACGGCCCATCGAGCGTACGGCGTGCGAGCTGCGAGGAGCGGGGGGGATGGCCTAGCAGGCGCGCCGCGCCATTCGAGCTTAGAGACTCGCGGCGGTGAGCGGAGCGCTTGCCCTACGCTCCCCAAGCGCGCCAAGCTATCGATGGTGGATATTTCGCGGTTTAGAAATAAGCGCCGAATAAGAATAACATCTCGATTGCGAAAATTGGGAAATGATCAAGAACCGTTGGAAAAAACTCAGTTTAGTTCGTTCTGAAGCGTATACATGTACATACAAAAAAATGTTACGTGAATATTACTTGTCTCAAATAAATAATAAGAGTATTTAAAAATTGTATTATCAAGATAATATTCTTTGTAATGAGATATAATCGTTATTCAAAAAAAGAAGAAGAAAAATTGCGTTCTCTTTTAGCAGTAGAATAATATTTTTCTGCATTTTTTTACACTACTGCATAGAAGTTCGGACATCCGCATAAATTTCATCGAATGATCGTGTAAAAAATTAAGACATAAAACAGCAATTGTATTATTTTTTAAATGTATTTTAAATCGCTTGTATGTAATATATTTATATAATATTTTATAAAGCTTTTGCTGATCTATTCTCTACTTATAGGGATAAGCGGGCAATATACACCATAACGTGAGCCTATATTTGTGTTCTCTGATTGAATTTTTGAAATGTATTAATTATACTCGTATTATCAATGCTGTAAAGATACTTTCTTTTGACATACAAAATTAAAACTAATTTATTATAAAGCTTTTGCAATTGTTAGTGTACAAGTGATCTAAAATATATTTCAAAAATAATATAATTGCTGTTTTATGTCTTAATTTTTTACACGATCATTCGATGAAATTTATGCGGATGTCCGAACTTCTATGCGGTAGTGTAAAAAAATGCAGAAAAATATTATTCTAGTGTTAAAAGAGAACGCAATTTTTATTCTTCTTCTTTTGAGTAACGATTATATCATTACAAAGAATATTTTCTTGATAATATAATTTTTAAATACTCTTATTATTTATTTGAGACGAGTAATATTCACGTAACATTTTTTTGTATGTACATGTGTACGCTTCAGAACGAACTAAACTAAGTTTTTTCCAACGGTTCTTGATCAATTCCCAATTTTCGCGATCGAGATATTATTCTTATTCGGCGCTTATTTCTAAATCGCCGAATATCCACCATCGATAGCTTGGCGCGCGGGGAGTAGGGCAAGCGCTCCGCTCACCTCCGCGAGTCTCTAAGCTCGAATGGCGCGGCGCGCCTGCTAGGCCATCCCCCCGCTCCTTGCAACTCGCGCGCTCGGTGGGCCGTACCTTTGGCAATAATAGGTCGGGCTGACGCGCATATTCGGCTATCTTTAAACGTTAATATCTCGTTAAATATTGCGAGCATTGCAAAATAGTACAAGACTTTTCGACTTAGTTTAATCCTGCTCGGGACGAGTGGGGCCGTACATTCCAGCCACCTTGTATATGTTACTATGTAATATTTTTAAAATTATTAAATGTATTACGCATATATGACTAGAGTCGTAATCATCTGTTCTTTATCGATAAAGTCTCTAAACTAGTACAACACACGGTAATAAGTTGAAGTGAAAATATATATGTTTGTTTCACTTCAACTTGTGCATCGTGTGCAACAGTTTCGAAAGTTCATCGACAAGGAACAGATGAATATTTAGTATCTAAACAGTATCTAAAAATTTATTAATTTCAAAGATTTCAATTTTTGGTTATAAACAGAGACATTTGAGTTAGTCAGATTTTTGGGTAAAAAGATTCGAAATCGTTATTATTATTCGTGTTTACCATTCAATTCATTCGTGCTGGATCATAGTAATTAGATCAATTAGCTCTACTTTTTATTCTCTAATATAAATAAATTATACTATACATGTA